AGTGGGCAATTTGGCAAAATCTATAATATGAAAAACTGCATATTCCTTTATCTAGGAATTTCAATTTTAGAAATTTATCCTAGATACAAAAACACAGTTCTAGACATATGTACATTCATACACACTATGAATGAATTCTGCATATACTATACATACGTATTACATGCATGAGAAAATGATTTATGTACAAAGATACTCATTGTAGTAGTGTTTATAATGGCTAAAGGTTGGGAACAACCTAATGTTCATAATGGGATACTGAATAAATACATTGTGTTACAGCTGTACACTTGAAAATGTGCGGTCATAAAAATTCACACCAGTGAATTCTGTTTATGTACCAATTTGGAAATATTGCCAATGCATGTTGTTTGCTGAAAAGTGCAGGGTATAAAACAGTGTAATATGTTTTTGTGTAAAAAAAAAGATATACGAGATGTTTTGTTTATGTATGAAAAAATACAACTTTTGGGAAAGAGAACTTGGTGGCTAAAGACATGCCTAGCCTCTTTTCAAAAAAAATCTGCATGTAGCACATGCTTTGCTCTTAGCACTTATTATTTGCTAGTGGTGGTGGTGATTTTCATTGTAAAAACAAGGTACCTTTACCTCACGAGTTGATTTTTAACAGCTGAGTCTGGAAGAGGAAGGCTATCTCATTATATGAGAGTCAGACTGCTTAATGAGTGTCAGACTAGGTTTTTCATCAAGAACGCTGTGTATACTTCATGAAGTATGTTTTTTGGAGATTATCAATACTAGCTTACAAACCAAAGATATCAAATAATATTGGGCTAAACAAAACTCAGCAGGCTTCTTTTCTACAAGGCCTTCTTAGAGTCTTAATACACATAATGTGCTTTGTAAATATTCAAGAGGTACATTTAGAATGTGGCATTTTCCCAAATTTATTTAATTATAGAACCTTAAACAATGACTATTTAAAAAAACACCTTAGGAGTAGTTGTCACATTGGGAAGCATCTCTTTAATAGTAGAATTTGGTTTTGTTCACCTTCATTATTAATCATTATTAATTTTTTTTTTTTTTTGAGATGGAGTCTCACTCTGTCACCCAGGCTGGAGTGCAGTGGCACCATCTCGGCTCACTGTAACCTCTGCCTCCTGAGTTCAAGCAATTCTCCTGCCTCAGCCTCCCAAATAGCTAGGATTACAGGCACCCACCAGAACACTTGGCTAATTTTTGTATTTTAGTAGAGACAGGATTGCCATGTTGGCCAGGTTGGTTTTGAACTCCTGACCTCAGGTGCCGCCCACTGCAGCCTCCCAAAATCAGTATTCTTGGTGTATTTCTAAGATACTTGTGGTCTCTGCCTGCTTCCTTTTCCTTTCCTTGTGATATGCTCCAATTCAAGAATTTGTTTTGTGGTTGAGACACTCCGAAAGTCATCTGAGTTTCTTGGGTAAAATTACACTGAGTTTCTTGGGTAAAAAATAATTCTATGTAATTAATGAGTGGAAATTGAAGTTTGACGCCTCTTTTGGTTCAACTTTTCCCAGAGCTTTAGAAGGTTTGCTGTTGAGAGAAGGAATGAAATCAACTTAATGGGTAGATTGTTGAGGAACTGTGAGCTTAATATGGAGAAGACAGTACTACTGTGGGAGTTAGAAGACATGGCTTCTGTCTTTGTCTTTTACCACAGCTTAATTTTGAACAGGTCACTCATCCTCCCTGTGCTTCAGTTTTATCCTCTGTAAAACTCAGGGAATGAATTTAAGTGATCCGTATGGGTCCATCCATTTTAAGACTTTAAGTTATTATTAGTGTGCTTAATGGAACCAGTGAAGTTTGTGGACCTGTGTAGAATGTTTTGTTCTACTATGCGAGTTTTCACATGTGAATATATTGTATTACTCTCCCAGTTCAGTCCTTTTTGAGAATGAAATCTTTCAATGATTAGCTCATAGTAAGCTTCATGTATTTGAAAACTTGTCTAATTGTTTGAAACTTCTCTCTTTATTGATTGGTTGGTTAATTATCCTCCAGGAAAGCATTTGATTTTATTACAGATCAATTAATACAATGGATAATCCACACCTCCTGTATAAAAGTGCTCCCCAGGCCCATTTGTTTCTCTGATGTATGGAGAAATCCATGATGTAGATATTCTCTCTCCCCACCCCAACAAAGTGTTCATTTGGTGGTTTTACTGTACTTTTGTGTACTCTGTCCATTAGCATATTTCTGAACTTGACATAGTAGAGGTCTAAATTCACTGAATTTGTGCCATCTGGAAATGAGCTTTATATTTTGTTCCTCTGTTGAAATTAGGGATGTGATATAGCTATTACACAGAAGGACTGTGAGCCTGAATTTGATTTTACTATGTGGGGGTAGAATGTTTTGTTAGAAGAAAAGCATTTGCCTGGGGAGAGATTTGAGTGTGACTGAATTGTTAACTGCCAACTTCCCCCTTTTAAGCAGAAGACATATTTTGTTTTTAAATGAGATGACAAGCAAGAGAATTATCAAGAACCAGTGAATTTTAAGAGACTTCTTTCAATTTACTTGAATTCCATTTAACCTTGCTTTCGATGTCATTCTGTGCATTACTGTCAAAGGACTCGGCTTCCTTTGAAGTCCCGAAGCGTTGCTGCTGGCGGAATCATGATGGTAAAATGTAACAGTGGTTCTTAGTAAAGCCCTTAACTGATACTCAGCAATGCCTTATTACCTAAGTAAAAGCATATGTGTGCAAATGCCTAAAATTGTAGAGTGTAAGAGGAGGATATATGATAATGGACACTGAGATGGGAGAACTATTTCTCATGAATTAGGGATGCCCTTTCATAATTCACAAGTTGCAAGAGGAGAAAAGGCTTGAAATCACCTGAAAAGCATCTGGCAGCAATCTGTATTTCTTAAGAGGAGGTAAAAGAGTCTGTATCTCTCCAGCTCGTGATGATAAAACCGTTCATGTGGGATATGGAAGAAGTAGAATTCTGTTACTTGTAAAACCTCTTATGATTAAAGCCCAGAGATTTGGTTATGAGGTGAAACTAATAGTTCTCGGGTGGGAACAACTTTTGTAGAGTATTCTAGGGCCATCTTTTATTATATTGGACTATTGCAAAAAAATTATTATATGAATGAATGGCTTACCTTTTGGGGCTTGAGAAATCCTGGCTGTGTAGAGATTTTGAAAAGACATATTTGTTGTACAGGACCAACTTGAATTGCTCCCCTCAACCCATCTAAAGATGAGAACTATTTAACCTAATATTTATAACTATATCAGAAGAAATTGCATCTTGTTTTTTTCTTTTGCATAAGTAGTTGTGATCATAGGTAATTACAACATTATACTCTGCTTTTTCTTTCCACTTTGTATTATAAACTACATTTTCCCATTTTATTATAACTCATAACATCCTTCTTTTTAATTTTAAAATTACTTTAAAAATTGACAAAAAATTATCTTGGTGAGGTGGCTTACACCTATAATCCCAGCACTTTGGGAGGCCGAGGTGGGCGGATTACGGTCAGGAGATCAAGACTATCCCAGCCAACATGGTGAAATCCCAACTCTACTAAAATATAAAAATACAAAAAAATTAGCCAGGCATGGTGGTGAGTGGCTTTAGCTCCCAGCTACTGGGAAGGCTGAGGCATGGGAATTGCTTGAACCTGGGAGGCAGAGATTGCAGTGAGCCAAGATCACGCCACTACCATCCAGCCTGACAACAGAGCAAGCCTCTGTCTTAAAAGAAAAAAAAATTGACATAAAATTGTATGTATTTATCATGGTTTGATGTTTTGAAGTATATTTATATATACACATTGTGGAATGAAAAGTTTTTAATGGCTGACAGAATTGTGATTAAGTAAATTATGTAGTTGTGGCAAATTTACTTGACTTCCTCTGTTATTGGCATTTAAATAGTTTCTATGTTTATTTTTTATTTTTTTTAAAACCCTAAGAGAGGGTTCTTGCACCTATGAGAGAAAAAATATGGGGTGAATCCATAGAGTAAAGTGAAGGCAAGTTTATTAAGACAGTAAAGGAATAAAAGAGTGGCTACTCCATAGGCAGAGCAGCCTGTTTCCATGTTTTAAATTTAAGTATAGTATTTATTGTTTCCTTAAAAAATGTGCTTTCTTGGCCATTTTCTCTGGCTTCTATTTATTGTGATGTTTAATAGTGGCTTCTTGTGGTTTTGTTTAGTATTTATGTTAGCTTCTACCTAACTGCTAAGTGTTAGTCTCTCTAGATCTTTTTATTGCTGTCCTGGACACCTCTAGGTTTTGTTCTCTGTGTTTCTCCCAGGTGGGATAATTTCCTAGCCCGCTTCTCTTCAAGCTCATGATTTCCTGGTTGCACAGTAGGCATTAAGCCACACATTTGTGTTATGATGACAGTTAGACCTGATGATAGGAGATGTGTATCTAAGACCACTTAGGCCTGATGATAGGAGATGTGTGTCTAAGACCACTTAGGCCTGATGATAGGAGATGTGTGTCTAAGACCAAAGTAGACTTTGCCCATTGGATTGCAAAAACCTGAACTTTCAATTGTCAGTATCTAGATTGATAGGTTAGAGTTACCTGGAAATATTTGGGAATATTGTGCGTTTTTGGAAATTGTTTATAAAAGTTATTTGTGCTCTTTTCTTTGCTATTTTATATTATATTATCATTATTAACTTAATGTAATGCTGTTGACCCATGGATGTGGATTTACTTTCATACTTTTTTTCACTCCTAAAAGAAGCATATAATTGTTTGCCATCTCTTATAAGTTGGAAGAATCCTTTTCTATTTTCTGTTACCCAGCAGGAGCTTCTCATTTTTGGCTAGCATTCAGATTTCTAAATAAACATTTGCTTTTGCTTATTTATTTTTTATGATGACGACAAATGCACACTGGGAGAACCCACTCAGTGTACAACATGTAGTGGTAAATGGGAGAGGAGAAAAAATAGGGATACTCAGATTGAATTTTGCAGTTTATTAATTATTATTTTTATTTCTCTCCACAGATTTTTAAAGTCTTCTTCTAGGGGTTTCCAGCAGAGCCAAATACTAGAGAAATCTTTTCCATTCCTCTGAAGAGTGAAGTGAGCAAATACAACCCAGCAGTAGGCTATTGAAGACAGCAGCCCCAGGTAATGTCTTCTTTTCTCATTATTATTGATTGACATGTGTTCAGTAATGCTCAATAATATGTTATACTTTTTTTTTAAAAGCAAGTCTACTTGAACTTACACATCCAAGTGAACATTATCTTGTTTAAAGTAGTCTTATGGAGAGGCTATATTGTATTCTCTATGCAAAGCATTTAAAAAAGTCTTGTCTTAAGAATTGCATCTTGATCCTCTGGTAGCATTCTTTTAAGCGTTCTGTTTTCTCTGGGGGAAAATCTCAACCTTGTAAGGATATATTTAGGAAAAGTCTTAACTCATTTAGAGCTTGGGTGATGATCATACCTGGGGTTCTCGAATTTTGATCAAAACCCAGAAGGAGCAATAACATAAGGAAACCAGTTTTTCTTTTTGTAATTTGAAGACTCATACATTGCATTGAAAATAAATTCTGAGAAGTGACTCTGAGTTTCAAGCAATGGTAGTGTTAAAATAATTGATCAGGCTACATAATTTACAGAGGCACATACTGTTTATTTGACTGTATAAATGTCGATATTCTTTCTTACTAAAATCAATCAGTCAATCTGTCAGTATTGTAGTAGAGTTCCTATGTTAATCAGAAACTTCCTTATTAGATATACTTCTGAGGCTTTCTAATTTGTCTCTTATAAATGATCTTCTTGAGGGGAGTGTTTTGCAGTATATCCCAAGGTATTACTAGAATGCTTGTTAAAAATACACATTAAAAATTTCATATTAGTAGGCCTGAAACTAATGTATCAAAATCAGAATCAAAATAGTAGGGGCAGGACTTGGAAATCTGCATTTTGCAAGTGAATGTCAACAGAGATTGACAACCTGATCCAGTAAAATCAGACCTCTACCTATGATCTTTGTACTTTAAAAAATTTAGTGTAGTTATTGTGTAGACACAAAACAGCTATTTATGATTGTATGCTTTTCTGGGAAGAGTAGGGGGAAGGGAGGGTTGGGGAAAGATTTGTTAAAGAATCCAAAATTACAGCTAGATAGGAGGATTAAGTTCTCCTGTTCTATACCATGGTAGGATGACTATAGTTAACTATTTAGCTGTAATTTTGTATCCTTTAACAACTCTCTCCCTAACCTCCCCTTTCCTCTACTCTTCCAAGTCCTGTCATTTTAGACACAGTTTAAAATAAGGAAAAGAAAAGCTGATGATCATAAATAGCTGTTTTATGTCCATGTAGGAATTCCCATGAAGTCCTGTTTCTAATTAAGATATTTTAGGAACAAAGTGTTATTGCATAAATTTGGAGCTCATTTTAGGCTAAGATTTAATAATTGTTAATAGGCATTGAGTCTGTGTTTAAGTTTTGTGTTAGTCATTTGTTGGATAATGACTTCTTAAACTTGAGATTTGACTGATGAACTCTGAGTTTTGGTCTTAAGGTTGTAATGTGTGTGTGTGTCCTCTGTTACAGGGCTTTTCCCAGTTAACTCCAACCAATGAGAGATCCTCTAATGTTTTAGGGAGCTTTAATTTCAACGTCCTAAGCAGAATCAACATGGTTATGATAAAGAATTAGCCACTCATGAATCCTGGGAAAAATCTATAGTTATTTACAACCATTCACCTGTCTGTGCAACAGAAGTTGTTTGGAACATGTTTTTGCCTCTTAGCTCTAGAAAGTGGCATGTGTGATAGAATGATATTTATACTGGTTTCGAAAAGCTCAGAAACCAAATATTGTTGCCTTAGATGTGAGGTTATTTTGGGTTGTGCAGGAGACTGTTGGGAGTGGGGTGTAAAGAGTACAAAAGCAAATATGTGTGAAGGGGAAGGCCTGGCAAGGATACTAAAAAGGTAGAGGGAACAGCTAAAGTGGTTGTAGGACTGACTTGGATAATGAAAGGATCCAACACTTTGGTGTATTGTTTTCTTCTGAGGAAATGATGGTGGATACTAAAGGTAGTGTAACAAGGAGCACAAGTGGAAAATGGATTTGAAGATGGACTCTGAAAGCTTGAAGACAGTATGATGCAAAATGTGTATGATAGTCCTGAGGAGTGGCTGTCAGTAGAATTCATCTGTTATGAATTTTGGATGTGTTCTCAGAGCAGTGAGACAAATAGCAGGTAGATAGAGACAATTACAGATATTTTGAGCTGTTTTGAGAGAATTGTTATTTGAATATGCTATTTCAGGGTTAAGAGTTGTCTACATGAGAAAAGAATAGCAGTTATGACACCATTAGAAGGCTGTCCTTTCTAATGTAATGCTGGGAATATCTGAGTCATGCAGAATTGGGATGGTGAGTAAAGAATGTTTCCCTGTGGCTTCCTTGGCTTTGTGTGGAGCTGGTGGGAAGCCATTTTCAAAAATGGTTTTGAATAAAAATTTAGCCTAAAAACTGTTTTAGTAAATAATGCAAAAAGATACCTAAAAAGTGACTTAGGAGTCAAATAATCAAACCACCTACATAATGCTAAATCTGAAATTTGTTCATTTTGCACATATCTTTTTTTATTGATTTTTAAGTTATAATCTATCTCTACTTTCTTTTGTAAATTTAGTCTTTTAAATTTATTCATCTATTTTTGTCTCTTCACATATTCTGTGGCCCTTATAATTTATTTCTAGCATAGTTTGGATCGTTTCCAGTTTTTTTTAAATCTGTTCTAATTGACCAGAATGACCTAAAATAAATATATATAATTTAAGTTTGGTCATGTTTTCCATTTCATTTTTAACACCATTTTCTGAAATACCTTTGTCTTGGGCTTTAAGTATGTATGTAGCGCCACACTGATGTACTCAGGGAGAAGTCTCTAACAACTCTAGTCGAGACTAGAGGTTCTCAAAGTGCGGTCCTCAGATGAACAGTGCAAACTTCACCTGGGAACTTGTAGGAAATGTAAATTCTTGGGCCAAATCAGAAACTCGGAGGGTGGAGCTCAGAGTTGTTATTGTTGTTTTTTTCACTTTGGTTGCCCAGACTAGAGTGCAGTGGCATGTTCTTGGCTCACTGAATGATCCTCCCACCTCAGCTTCCTGAGTAGCTGGGATGACAGGCACATGCCACTATGCCTGGCTAATTTTTGTATTTTTTGTAGAGATGGGTTTCATCTTGTTGCCCTGCCTTCTTGATCTCCTGGGTTCAAGCAATCTGCCTGTTTTAGCGTTCCAAAGTGTTGGGATAACAGGTGTGGGCCACAGTGCCTGGCTGAAATTTATATTTAACAAACCCTGTAGGTCAGCGGTCTCCAACTTTATTGGCACCAGGGACTGGTTTTGTGGAAGACAATTTTTCCATAAGTGATGGGGATGGGGTGGCTTGAGAATGAAACTGTTCCGCCTCAGATCATCAGGCGTCAATTATATTCTTGTAAAGAGTGCGCAATCTAAATCCTCACATGTGCACTTCACGATAAGGTTTGAGATCCTATGAGAATCTAATGCCACCACTGATCTGACAGGAGGTGGAGCTCAGGAAGTAATGCTCACCTGTTGCTCACCTCCTGCTTTGTGGTTTGGTTCCTAACAGGGCACAGACTGGTACCAATCCAGGTCCTGGAGGTTGGGGACCCCTGATCTAAGTGATTCTGATATGCGCTGTGTGCAAGCCATTTATTATTTCTTGTCCTTGGTCTCTTGAGCAGATAGATTAGGGGTTCTCAAACTGTGTGCACATGAATCATCTGGTGAGCTTGTTTTAAACATCTCAAGAAGCAGATGATTTTTCCTGACTTCATACCAAGAGATTTTGATTCAGGAGGTCTTGGATAACTGAGTTTATGTGCATCTCAACAAGCTCTCCAAAATAATTATCGTATCTATAATATGGATTAAATCATTGTCTCTCACTTTCTTCAAGCCCAAAATTGATGTGTTTTAAAATGGCTCTTTGGGTTTAGTAACTGAAAACTTGGGGCCAGAAATTTATTTTCAAAATGCAGTTTGGATTATTTTTTGCTGAAGCCAGATTATGTTCTGATTTCTTGCCTTGAAAAATATTTTCTTGCCAGGTGTGGTGGCTCACGCCTGTAATCCCAGCACTTTGGGAGGCCGAGGCGTGTAGATCACTTAAGGTCAGGAGTTCAAGACCAGCCTGGCCAACATGGTGAAACCCCATCTTTACTAAAAATACAGAAATTAGATGGGCATGGTGGCAGGCACCTGCAATCCCAGCTACTTGGGAGGCTGAGGCAGGAAAATCACTGGAACCTTGGAGGCGGAGGTTGCAGTGAGTCAAGACCACACCACTGCACTCCAGCCTGGGCAACAAGAGCAAAACTCCATTTCAAACAAAACAAAATGAAAAAGCCCCAATGTTTTCTTGCCTACTATGTAATATTTTTCTGGGGCTTCTCCTCCTTGGTAAGGAAAAGAGCCTTTGGCCCTTATAAACTTGGAGATTTCATTATGTAGTTATTCTAGGTAGTTCTTTCAAATAGTAAACTTTAAAGCACTATTCTAGGGGATGCCACTTTTTATTGAGATGTATCTTTTTGTCCCTGCCCTTTATTTCTTGTCTCTAAGCCTGTTCCCTGTGGATGATGGCATGTTTTCCTCATCTCAATGCCATTTATATTTTTGTTTTTTTCTTTAGTTTTTATAGTACTTCTTTATTAGAAGTATTGTTTGCAAGTATTCCTCTTCTTTTCAATCATTTTTAACGCTGTCTATCCCTTGGATTTAGGAATTTTCTAAGCTTTTTTCTTCCTTCCACATCTCACCCACATGTTCTTCCCTTGGGGCCTGCTTTTTCATGTTGTCTAGGAACTTCCTCAGATATCACTTTAGCATCCCCTTATAAAGTAGCATCTGATCCCACAACTCTCTCCTAAGCTTTAGCCCCATATCAGCTGCCTACTCAGTGTCCCACAGTCAGGTCAGGTTATCATGTCTGGCATTGAACTCATTGTTCTTCGCACCTGAAATCTGTGCCTTCTTTCATATTCCCTGTATTGGTGAATGGCATCACCGTCAGCCATCAGCCAAATGTAGCTAACATTTATCAGGTGCTTCCTGTGTGGCA